TAAAATGTTTTTAATTGTGCACCAGTTTAACGTTGAATATTATTTATGATTTTAACATTATATATACAAGTGCCAAAATACTATAATTATGGCTAGTTAGTCTTCTTTAGTAAGAAAGTTGGGAATAAGTGCCAGAAGTTTAAGAAATTTAAACTGACAGAATGGAAGATTTACAGAACTATAGGATATCTAGGTATTTCGTTAAAGAAAAATTTAGGAAGTTGAAAAGGTTTATGAGAAATAGCTGACTGATAATATTAAATCAAATAGCAAGGATTTTAAGTATGTTGAAGATAAGCAAAGTGATAAATGGGGATTGGGCCCTTAAAAGATACTAAAGTTTTTGTTGAAGACTATGAAATGGCTGAGTTGTAAGTGTTTTTTTTCTTCTGTTTTGATAAAAGAACATATTAACAATATTCCTGTTTCTATGGAAAATATTGTAACTAACCTGTATTATGTAGATAGTAATCCCCAGGTGGCTAGTAGAAAAAATGACTGTTAATAAATAATAAAGCACCAGAACTAGACAAGGTTTCCCCAGGGTTTTAAAAAAGGCTTAAGATGAAGTATTTGAGCCTCTTTCTTTCATACTTGACAGGTTAATAGACAGCAGGCAGGCAATTGAGGATTGCAGATGTCGAACAGGATGTACCATGTGCTTGCTACATAACTGTGATACATAAAATGTTTTACTTGTTATAAGATATTATTGCAAGTATTCACTTAATCTTGTGATTTAAAATTTTTACAAAATAAGATTTTTGTATAGTTCTTTTTTTCTGAGTTGTTATTATTGCTATCAGTGAGTATCATTATTTTGTGATTGTTTGTTATTTGAATTTTTTCTGAGTTGTTATTATTGCTATCATTATTTTGTGATTGTTTGTTATATGAATTTGATTTAGATATTACAGCAAGTAATATTCAGAATAAATAATAAGGATAGATGTAAGTTAATTACATATGGTTCTTGTGCTATAAGCTCTGTTACGTATTATGAAAGTTTAAAGCACAAGTTAAAAGTTTATGGTCTGTATAATGTACTGAAATAGCTCAGTGCTTGGTATTGCAAAAGATGATTTATAGTTCCTTAAAAATTAACGTCTTAGAATATTTGAAAAATAAGTTTGTTTAATCATTTCATAAGATATACACTATTCTTGAGAGCTCTATTTACTACATTATGTACAGTCGCACTGTTGGATCACATGTTTGGTCAAAGTTTTCCTTGTGTACTTCTGAAAGCACTGAACACACATTCTGTTTCTTTCTATACTCATCTAAAGTTCTCTTCACACTTGATACTCATGATCCCATCATTTTTCAAGTATATATATATGTACATATGAATATAACATTGACCAGATTTGCAGTAATTGCCTGTAATATATTAACAATATTTCCTGATTTCTTTTTCAGGCAAGCCTACTGAAGAAGTGTATGTCATTGCCAAATATGATTATACAGCTCAAGGTAGTCAGGAGCTTGACATAAAGAAAGGTGATCGCCTGCTGCTTTTAGATGACAGTAAACACTGGTGGAAGGTGTGTAATTCCCAGAATCAATTTGGTTTTGTCCCATCCAACTATGTAAAAAGAGAAAAGCCTTCCATATTTGACAGTATAAGAAAAAAAGTTAGAAAAAGAACTGATTCAAAAGCCTCACCAACAGACTCACCAGTTGCTGTTAATGATGACATGGGTATTAGTTTTGTTCATGATCTACCTTCCAGAACAAAAATTTCTACTCATATAACTGCAGTAGCTAAATATAATTACACAGCCCAACAATCAGATGAAATTTGTCTTGTAAAAGGGTCACGAATAGTGGTGCTTGAAAAGTCAAGTGATGGATGGTGGAAAGGGGAATTTAATAAGACAGTTGGGTGGTTTCCTTCCAATTATGTTCTTGAAGAAAATGAAGACCAGAATGGTGTTAACAAATCTCCCCCACTTCTTTCAGCAAATGGTGATAGTTCATTAAAAGAAGGGGAGTGTCTAGACATTGTGACAGCATTATTTTCGTATACTGCCCAAAACAAAGAAGAACTAACTTTTCAGAAAGATGAACATCTAGAAATAATTGAGAAACCTGTCAATGATCCTGGCTGGTGGAAAGCACGGAATCAAAATGGTGAGATTGGATTAGTGTCTAAAACCTATGTTCAAGTAATTTTGCCACCTCCAGTGGGAGATGGAACTTTAGATTCTATAGGCTCTTCTTCATCTTTGGGATGGAGGTGTGGAATCACTGGTGGTGCTGCAGCAGATGTCACTCAATTACAAAGTGAAATGATGAACATGGGAGTGATGGCATGTGAAGTTTCACCCATGGTACAAGCCAAAAATCGAGGGCCATTACCACCTCTTGTAATGCATCAGGATCTACTTAGTAGACCATGGTACTTTAGTAATATCTCAAGGAACCAATGTGACCAGATGCTCAATAACTCTGCACAGGATGGAGATTTTCTTATTCGTGACAGTGAAACAAATGTTAGTACTTTGAATTTTTATTTTAATATTTTCATAAGGCTATTCCTTACTTTAGGATCAATGATTTTAAGTACATTTTTGCACATGTATCAACTCTTTAAAAGAGATCTCACCCCAACACACAGTAATGTGGACTGCACAAGCCGATGATGCAGCAGTATTATACTATACCCCTTCACCAGTAGGAAGTAACACATTCTCCTTATGCAGTACTCCACTTCAGTGTTTTGTTTAAACAAAAATATCATTCTTTTCATGAACATTGTAGCATTCAATCATGTTCTTTTTCTTGAGAAAAAGATTGTAAAACTGTGATTTTTGCACTGCACTTTATTTAACCTTCAGTTAGGAATTCACTTATTGACAGTTTTTCTAATGTTTTACTTTCAATTCTGATTCTTTTCTCTGAGATGAGGATCAGGTAAGCCTGCCTTCTTTATTCAACACTCTAATTTGGATATTTAATATTCTTTTTTCATCTTCCAGTTGTTTATGCTGGCTAACAGGTTGACTTGCTACACGATCCTCAAACTTTGGACTTTCTTCTATTTCCACCTTCGCCTGAAATCTGTGTTTGTGCTAATTCTTTTTCATCTCAACTTTGTGCTCAATCTCAGTTTTCCTGTCCTCCCTACCCTTGAGACTTTTATTCTGTGGCCTATGGTTTGGATCCTTCTTTCCTCAAGTTTTAGTCCCTTGAACCTATTCTTTTGCTCCTACTTTGTCACATTCTCAATCTGCTTACCTTTGCTTTTTTGCTTGCTTTCTTAAATTCTTTGCTACCTGCCTTTTTTCACATCTACTTTCTGTGAATCTGCATCCTGACAGTTTTACTGGATAATTTCACACATAATTGTTCTCTATGCTTTTTTTTATCTCTTATTATGCAGTTGTCCCATTAACTTTGTTTCTTTGTTTTCAAGATGTGCTTGTTTGGGATACCTTACTTTCTGGAGTTTGACTTCATCAGTCTTATCTCAAGAAATTCTGCTTAGCACCCTTATTTCATTAAAAGGTTTTTGGGGGAGTTCCTAATATCTTGGAAGCTCAAGTTGAAGCATCTCAACATCATTCATTCCTGCTCTCTTTGGTTTCCCATGTATTTTGGTCCAGGAAACATTGTACATATGTCATCCTCAGATCACTTCATTTTACTTTTTGTCCAGTTATCCCTTTCTGGCACTCCTGTAATTTGTTATGTAGCTCAGAGTTGGCTCGTTTATAATGTTATTACATGACTTTTATCCTGTGGGAACTTGACTTATACAACACAACTGCTCTTACAGGAACTTACCCGGTCTTATCACTGTCAATTTCTTCCTTCTCCTTCCATCTTTTTCTACACTTTCAAATTCATTTCATCTTCAGCTCCTTGAGGACTCTGTCTCATCCTCTCAGGCAATGAAACACAGCAGAACAGGTCCTGACCTCTCTTCACTGGTTTACTCGTGTCTTTTTCTAGTTTCCAAAAACACTGGATATTGGTAGACTAGCATCGATCTGTTGTCCTTGAAACAATTTCTTATTTTTTTCTTGGTTCTATCTTAGGCTGTGGATGACAAAGGTGAATAATTCCTTTCTCCACATTCTGATTCATTCAGCCACCCTGTTGCTTTCTTTGTTTAATAATCCATAAAGGTTGGATATTTCTGTTCAGGGCCCTTCCTTCAGGTTAGCTACAGCCCTATGTTATGAGAGCTTTTGCATGGTGGATATGCTTATATCAATGTACCCATGCCTAATGCCATAACAAGATAATGTAACAATTTGAATTATAAATTACATTTTGATGCCAAGTGGACTGACATACATTGATAACAAATCTGTTTAAATAAAATGTTTAATGTGACTATAAAAGATTGTGGCTCTATCCCTGTTGTGCACATATGATTGATATATTCAATTACCTATAAACATTGATTAGTGTTATGCAGAATATTTAGTTAATCAAAAAAATATTCAGCCATTTTTTTCTGATTCTTAATGTTTACAGTTATCAAATAATTGAAATTACAATTAAATCAACTAATGCAATAAAAATAATCAACTAATTGGAATTAATGTTATGAAAATAATCAACAAATCAAAATTTAATGTTTCTGATTATGCCAATTATCTAATAATCAAAATTCTTCCATAATGATTTTTATTATTATTTTTGATTAATTCAAATTTTGTCAGGTTATTTAATTAGTTTCATAATTCAAGAAGATAGCCAAATAATTGAAATTAGGGTTTTCCATTATTACTGTTTTTGATTATTTTAACTATCAAAATATTGCCATTATGTTTGCTGTAAAGCAGAAAGCTACACAATGGACTATCTGTGTTCTTTCCACTATGGGCTTCTAAACCTGGTTTTTAGCATTATGTTCTTTTTGTTTTTCTTATAGCTATGTAATGTAGAATAATGGGTTAGTTTGTATTTTTAGCCATCTCATGATGACAATTAATAGATTTGCAAACCCTACTAATTGCCCAGCTTTACTTTCCTCATCAGTGTCCTTGAGATGTCTGCCACTATCTTCTGTTATGTCTATCTGGACATCTTGTTATGATCCTTTCTGATAATTCCACTGTAATTCTTGCATGATCCAAAAGAGAGATACTTGCTTATGAGACCTTCACTTGCTTGTTCCTAAAGCTCCTCTTTTGGGCTCACAACAGTAATGTCCAGTTGTTAGTCTGTCTTGTTCTAGGAGCTTTGAAATTAATGGTAGATCAACTGTCTTTCTTGTTCAGACTGAATCCTTCCAATGGAGTGGTCTTTACATACCTTGGTGTAAGAGTGGATTTGTTACCATTTTGAGAGCCCTCTTACTGGTGCATTTGTGATCCCCTCAGCACCAACCATCTAATCTTTTAGTCACCAGTCTCACAAGACTCGATAATCCTAGCAATAAATGTTTTGAATCAGGATTAGTACAACCACTTTCTATATGTCTATTCCCCTCTTAATATCCAACCAGGTGCTAATTTGTAGCCTTCTTTGCTGGGTTCTCATTGCTTGCTTTTGACCAGTTCATTTCTGATTTTACCTTTAAGCAATCCATGGGCCTCTACCTGTTTCATCATGGAAGTCTGTTATGTCAGTCTTGGATGTCCATCTTTCATCACAATGTACCATGCCCTCATTTCACATGTGGTTTTCATCTGGTTCTTTACAAGACAGGTTTCTTTTGCAGAGTACCCCTGTTTCTCACCCATTCTTGTCAACCAACCACCTTCAATGTTTATTAGCACAATTAATGGTTAATTGATGCTGGACCATTTTACCACTTCCTTCTTCCAGATCATCGGATTCTTCCTTTTATCACTTTTTTTTTACCTGACTTTTCAAGAGCAATTTATCCTTTTCTCTGATCACTGGATTCAGGGTAGCTTTGTTGACTGCCTTTCATGTTTTCTTTGGTAATTCTCATTTAGTTTCTCCAGTTCATAAAGACCTTTCTAGGGCCTTTCTATTCAGTCATCCTCCTTGTTCCATTCCTCTTTTGGGCTGAACCCTCTCTCTAGATCTCAGGGACCTCATGAATCCACTATTTAAACCTTCGACACACTGCTTTCTGTACCATCTTTCACACATTTTCTTCTTGCTTGAATGAGGCACAGCTTTTTTACGTTAAGGTATTGCATCACAGGTAATATTAAATCTGCATCAAGTAGGGGATAACAGAAGGTGTTTAGCCTATCTGCTCTTCCTCAGTTCCCACTGTTGAGGTGGATTTTCCACAAGAGTGCTTAGGTGATCTATGTATATTTACCTTCCAAGAAGTACTGGAGAAAATTAAAAAAAATATTACAAAAATTATATCAACTTTAAATATACATTGCAGAAGAACTATAATCATAGTGTGCAAAGTGGTCCAAGAGCTATGTTCAGTGGGTGGCTGGCTGACAAAGTAGAGGTTCCTTCATTGACCCTGACTGTCAACAACTGAGGTGTAATGACAGGGAGTGAAATATTGGTGAAGATGGTTCTTTTACTGTAAGTTCTGGTGGCCTTTAAAGTTTCTGCTGTAGTCATTAGTGCCAACTGAGCACTGGTGGACATCTCGCTCATCCTCTTTTTGGGTCATTTTCACTCTTTAAGATAACTTTAGCTCTGGGAAGGCTTTTTGGGCTTTGAGATGTGGTCCCACCAGAGGTAATGCATATTTGGTTGCTTCTCCTAGTCGTAACAAGATATCCCTTGACAGGACACCTCAAGAGAGGCTCCTAGTGCCTAGTCATCTTCCTTGACTTTTTTTTACTGGAGCTGGTGGTTGAATTACCTGCAGGCTTACTGAAATGGCATGTGGCAAGGGCTTGACTTCCATAGGTGGGTCTTCTCAGCCCTGAGAGACTTAAAACTAACCCAATGACTGATTCAGATTAACACCTAATATTTGAATTGTTGAGCAATGCATCTTCATTCATGGATTTTACAGGGTTGAAAGTTAGGCCAGCTCCAGAAGTCTAACTATTTTCCAAACTTGGTGTTTTGTGTTCTTCTGATGTTCATCATTAGTTCTTGCCATGGCAGCTTAGTGTAAACTTGAGGGTTAAGAATGTATACTAGAAGAACTTTCAACTGGCTAGCTGAAAAAATAAGAAAGGGTCAAGAATTCCATCTTAAACATCAAAAAGTCAAGTTTCAAAATATAGGTTTAGATCAATTCCAATTGGTCAGTAGGTCATCTAGATGTTTAGGTTGTAAAGAGGTTTGTTACTGCCTGGTTGTAACAGTACTGTTACCTAAAACTACCTTAATAGACAGAGTTTTGAAAGTATTATCTTTATGAAGTAACATTTATACAGGTTTCGTGTGTGCTCATGCCTATATTTGCCTGTAGAATGTGTATCCCTAACACTTGTGTACTTCTTTGCCCCATGCATCATTGTATCTATATTGGACAGTACCTTTATAGCAGTGCTGCCTGTTGTTGCTTTTCCTATGACAACAGCAAACATAAATTACCCTCTTACCTAAATACATTCTTTCCGCTACTGCCTGATAG